CTTGTTCAACGTTGAATGTCGAACGTCAAACGAGGAACGAGGAACTAACTTCACATCGGTTACACTTCTTCTGTGACTTAACTACAGATCTTTGTCAAACTTTGGCATGTCTGGAAGTGGAACTGATGAGGATCAAGCTTCAAGACTCCATGTGGTTCAAATACAAAAGAAAACTTGTGGCCACCCCAAAAAGTGATGGACTGATTACACCTAGGCCTATTTTTAATTTTAAAAAATGCATAACTTCGCTACACTTGCAGCTATTGAGCCAACTTTTATACCACTCAATTTCTTTTGAAATTACCTTTCCAATGGTACTAAACTTGTGTGGGTCAAATAAAAAAACCTGAAAAGTGCCGGACTCCCTACATAGCCTACATACATAGGTAACCGTCATGACCGGCATTGGACACAAACATCCTGAACGCTTTTTTCAGTTTTTTTGAAATTTTTATCACTTGACTTTACATTCCTACCTTGCGTGGCACTTGGCATGTTCGGAGAAGAATTCACCTTCAAGCATCTAATTAGCTGGGGGTTTTTTAATCTCAAAACCCTGAAATGAAACGCGCATCCCTGCACAAGAGCCGCCATCTTTCCAGCTAAGTTGACGATGTTACGCCCCAACTATAGCATAAGCCCCAACTATAGTTGGGACAGTCCCAACTGTAGTGCTGCAGTTGGGCTGGCCCAACTATTGTTGACCAATGTCTGTGGAAAATGTCTCAACATTATCCAAGTCAATGTGTCTCACGCTTGACACAATTCATCTAAAATGTGGCACTTCATATGTTCATCTAGCCCTATGACCAATGACACGACATTTGTAAACAATATGACTTTGGCACATGCTGGGCACATCATGCACACTGGACCTCTATGCTGTAGTTGGGCCGGCCCAACTATAGTTGGGACGGACCCAACTATAGTTAGGAGGGGCCCAACTATAGTTGGGACTGATGCTATAGTTGGGGCGTAACAACGATACATGTAGATATTTTTACAGTCACTTCGCACCATTTCCACTTTGCCGTACCGTTCGAGCTCGAGGATTGCACTACATACACCAAAGACGCGTCCATAAAAAACAGTGCAAAAACGGACCTAAATAGCGCCGCCTCGTGAAGAGGTTGGCCTCCTTTTTTGCTACATATATTACATATACTAGAAATTCAAGATTATGGCCAGATCACTTTTCGGTTCAATTTTACGGGGTGGCCACGAAATTTTTTTTTTGCCTTTCAACGAAGATACCCCCAAAATAGTAGTAAAAGTAAGCGCTAATTTTTGAATGTGCTCGAGATTTCCAAATGATTATTTTGAGCCTTTTCTACTTGTGTAGTAATTCATAAAAGCTTTTTATCGCTAAATTGCGATATAATATTTCCTGAGGTTTTTTTTTTGTTTTTCTGTCACAGGTATATTGTGAGTCGTAACATAATCTGTCAGCATAGATTTTTTCCATATACATGTATAAGCTACTGCCAGTGGCCTTTCCAATTTGTCTTTTATATTTAACAAGATAATATTTATTTATACCTAATTTTTATCGTTTTTGTAACACATTACATGAATATTTGTCACGCCCGTGTTCACATTTTCTCGGTGAGCAAATTCTGCAACTCGATTTATATTTTTTATATTCGTAAGAGAGTTATTTATTTTTTTTACATTCGTTGCAGATTCTTTTAGTAGATTTACACAGGCTGACTTCACAGGATGAGGATTTAGCATTTTTTTTGAAACACAGTGTCCAGCAACGATTTCGTACGTTGTTCTTTTCAGTCTAAAATATTCGATAGGTTTTGATTGGCCGCAGACTATACCAAAAGTTGCCAGTTATTTGCGATTTTTTCCTGAAATCTCGTTAAACTCAGTGTTTTGCCTTTTCAGTGTTATTTGTTTATTTGTTCATAACGTATTTGACTATTTATTGTTATAGTCATATTTTAAATGCGTTACTTTATTTTCACTTTTTCCTGACCACCGTCAAGGTTGTGAGCTAATTTTTTGGGAAGAGACCGGGACCAAAACGATTCTAAAAAAGAGAGCTCCTGGGCAGGGCGAAGACGGTTCTAATTTCTTATTTCTGTGTTGAAGGCTGGCCAGGGAGTTTTGCGTTTGTAAAAGAATGTTTTAAAAAAATTGGAATTATAAAAAAACGCAGGGTACAGGTACCCAGAACTTGAAAAAAATGGGTACGGTCTGGAACTGTCCTCATACCACTAATGGAAGGAGAACAAGACATCATCAAACATTTATCCAGTAACATCACAAATTGGTACATTTGGCGTTCCATCTTAAACCTCTATTATCATCAAAATAGGCTGTATCTATATGAACGCTGGGCCGGGGGTGCTCCTATTTAATTTCCGCGGAATATAATACTAAAAGCCATAGTCCACTAATTCACAGTGCATCGATTCGGTGATCACATTTAATGCCACTCTGGCGTTCCATAGGCTAACTCTCGCG